TTGCACTCATGCTCTGGTTCAGCCTCTCATTGCTCAAACTTAACACTAACCCTCTTGGCAAATTCGGCTTGGTTTTTTTTTCCCCATCAGCCCGTAATACTTACAAAGATTTTTTCAGATCCTGGGATCTCAGGCATTATAATACTGGCTGTCATGCATTGATCATCATATTCTGAGAATTCCGAGGAAACAGCTAAGAATTAAAAACACCCCCAACCCAAAGTATATAAAATTAAATGGAAATGGAAATTCTATGGAGTCAAAATGAAAATGAAATAAAAAAAATAAAAAAACAGGGGGCGTGCATAAGCGCACCAACGTGCCTACAGTCCCTGTCCTATTGGTTTTTTAATATATTTTTTTATTTTTCTTATATGTATCCATGTATTCATAACTATGTTTTTACTTATACCTATTATCTTGTAAGCAATTGACAAATAATAAAATCAAATAAATAAATAAATTTTCTTAGGAAAAGAACTTACATTCTTCCATCTCTATGACACAAGTTTTAAAGCATTTAGATCTACTAGGAAAATGCATTCCCCCATCTTGGCTTACAACCCCAGGGGCCCAGGTCACACGCCTCTTCTTATTAGCCTTAAATTAAGAATAAAATAAAAATAAGCATACACGTAAACAATATGTTGGCCAAGCTTTCCCACATTTCAAACATGGTGGGAATTTCTTGGCCAGCAGGCAGGTTGAGGAATTTTGAGATGTGAAATCTTAATACACCTGTACCTATCTGAGAAAGGACTTGATATAATTAGGTACATTATACCTGTTATAAATACAATGAGTTTAAATTTGTTCTCTGTAGAATCAGGAACTCTAGCAGAAACTGTTACAGTGGGAAAAATATTGGCAATGTTGATTTTGAAAAGTCTTTGGCAGGGAAGGTGTAGAGCATGTAAATGTAACAGCACCTAACATTATGACCCACTAGTCTTAATTTAGAGCAGCCTGACAAGCAATGCTTAAGTTTTGTGATATATGCTATTAGTATAAGCTTGAGAAACATAGATAAGAGTTCTAACAAATAAGAATTGTCAACCGAAGACTGTTTATATGAAGATAGCAGAAGATGAGCTTGATTTAAGAGTCTTTACTATTTTCTCAAACAGTTGCAGAACCATCAAAAATACAATTTCATACAACTGCAACTACTCATGTTATCACTAAGATGAGAAAGAAGGCTTCCTATATTTTTTCTATTTCGGTGTCTAAATCAGGGGTGCCAAACTCAAGGTCTGCGGGGTGCTTAGATCTGGTTGCCCTGGAAACAGTGAAGAATCAGCCCATGGTGCCTCTGCCAGTGAAAATGGAGCGGGGGGGGGCGTATGCTCCATTTTCACTGGCAGAAGACTGTAGGAGGCAGCGCACAGCTCCCCCGAGCTCCATTTGGCTGGCAAAGGGCTAGCAAAACAAACTAAAAGCAAAAACGCTCCCCACCCCCAAGGTCAAAAACAACCCTGATGTGGCCCTCAATGAAATAGAGTTTGACATACCTGGTGTAAATCAACAGTGCCTTAAAATATATCTCATGTTTTATGTATCAATTTTTTATTTTCCCTGAACTTACATTGGTGGGATTTTTAAAATTTAAAAAATCTAGAACTTAAGACATGCTATTTGTTTTGAGATTTATCATATTTCTTATATCATCACAAGAATAAAAGCCATTACTACTAAAATCTAAACAAAACCTGGCTTCTTCATCAACCCTTGCGATGCCTAACAACTTACTCCAGACATACTCACTACATTCCAGTGTCTGAATAAAAAACTAAATCTTAATGGACTTCTGAAAGGCTAAGAAAATTGGGGGGGGGGGTTCTTTATGTTTACATAAACTTTCCCCATCCTCCCACGCATAACAATTCCAAAACAAACAATATTTTCTAATTTTATGTAATATTTAACAAACAATATTTTCTAATTTTATGTAATATTTAATCTTCATACTTACCCTTAGCTCCCGCTCTTGTAAAAAAGAGGATGAGGTCACCAACATTTCTGTCAGCACTCTTATCCTGTCTTGCTGCTCCTTCTGAACAGAATTCTTCTCTTCCAAGAGTTGTGCTAATTGATCTTTGGTAGGAGAATGTGACGAAACCTAAAACAGAAGATACCAAGGCTGCTTATCAAATGGAAATTTTGGTTCTGCAAGGAAATAAATATGAAGAATTTGAACATTTACATTTGCATTACAGGGTGTAACTTAAGGCTGCAATCATATGGTCTGTGAAAAGGTAGCCCAGGAAACATTATCTATGGTAGGATGTCCAAGGAAGAAGAGAACATTTTTGACTTCTTCAGCTGGAGATCATAGAAATCACTTTCTAAGTCAAGGAAATGTTCAGCGGATCAACACTTTCCTGCTTCCCAGTGTCCCCAACAAAGAGGAAAATTTACTAGTGACTTTAAAAAATAAAATTATTAAAGTCACCAGAGGAGAAATAAAAAGAGCTAGCTACAGATTACTAACACATAATAAGAAGCTTCTCCCTTTCCCTTGTGATTGTCAGGAGTCCATAAGTTGTGGAGTTCTATTAAGTAATTGTCCAGCTTCTTCACTGGTTCTTAAAATTTCTGTTTAGACTCTACTCCTGCTCCTATCGCTAGATGCATTTTTCCCCTCAGTTTTTCTATTTGTCCTATTACTTTTGCCATATTCAACTGAAACGTAGGTAGCATCTAAACATACATAACGAGACATTTATTCTCTTGGAAGAAAATGAAATTCAGAGTTTGAAAGTTCGTGACATGCATCATTCAAGAAACTGGACAATTAATGAGTTTTTTGAACAGGGACACTTTCAAGGGGCAAGCTAACTGATGGATTTGGCCTGTTGGCCTGGAAAACGACCGATCCAATCCATTTAGATTAGGCAACTTACTTCTTCCAGTTGGCGTTTCAAATCTTCTATTTCATTACGGTATCGCTTTAGAAGAGCATCATCATTAAGAACTTCATTGACTTTCAGGGTATTCTTCATTTTTTTGGCCGTACTGGCAAACTAGAGGAGACAAAATATGTAGAGAAGGCCAGTAATATAATAAAAATCAGTATAATTTTTAAAAATCTTGATTACATTCATAACCTGAAAACATGCTATTCTTACTGGATATTTCTGCTCTAATGTATATTTCTTTCTTTATAAAGAGTATTTCCCCCCACCCCCCCCATTAGTATTCTGTTTAAACAAAATTGAGAAGTATGTAAAACCATGGGGGGCTACTTCTGCCCTTTGATGCAAGATTCCAAGACAGAATCAGTCAGCCAATTAGTCTAATAGTACATTAGGCCAATTCATAGACTGGCACCTGGAAGGCCACAAATTCCTACCACTCTTAATTTTAGGTCTATGTACGAACAAATCCTGTACACAGAACAATGATACTCTTTAGCTATCTATCTATAAGTAGCAATACAATTCTAGAAGCTTTCGAAAATGATGTGTAGTGAGGCCAATGTTGGAAGATAAACAAAACTACAACAAATCAACAAAATAAAAGTAGAATATACTCACACTTTTTCCACATAGCACGATAGTTGGAGAGAATATATAATATCATATAAAGAGTAACTATGGTATAGAGTTTTGAAGTGATAACTGCCATTTGCACCTTTCTGCTTGTGCTTATCCATACCCAAAATGTTTTTTTTGACAAGAACATTTAAAAATTACCTGGAGCGTGCCAAGAGTTTCTTCCAAAGATGCTGGTGTAATTGTACAAATGATCAGAGTCTTGGCATTCCCACCGAAGGAGTTTTTCAGAATTCTTGTGAGTTTACTATCCCGGTAGTTGATAAAGCCTCTGGTGCAAAGGGATAAGAGAAAGAAGAATAAAATATTATGGATGTGGCTGAGGGAAAATGGCTTCAATAGCCAACTCATTATCTTTAGATGAACTGAGAACACTAATCAGTTGAAAAATGAAACTATCTAGATGAAAAAATGTGAAAAGACGCATGTCAAAATATGAAGTTGGGAAAGGGGAGATTCAGAGCTCAGCAACCTTTTGCTGCTCTAATTGAAACAGGAATATTTTTTTCTTACCCAGACTGATCATCACAAAGTTTCTTGATGACTTGCGCAAGATGAAGAGGCTCCTGTTAATATTACATCTTTCTTTAAGACGAACCCCTAAGCACATACATAAAAAGCACCATTTCAGTTGTTGCTGGATGGATTTAAGGCATCATAAATCAGTGCCCATTTTAAGGCCATAGGAAAAGTTATACTGAATCAAATATACAGCCCAGCATTAAAAAAAAAAGACAAGTAACCAGATGGATCCTTTTTAAAGCCTGGGTATGAGTGAATGTGATTCTCCATTCAGATTCTTCAACAACTGGAATTGGGAAATATGGGTCTCAACATTAAGGATGAGACAGCCACCATAACTGGAAATCCTTGACAGACCCTACACCCCATGAATTTGTCTAGTTTCCTTTTAGAACTTATCTATTCTGATAGGAGGACATTAATAGTTTAGGATAGTTGCCAAGTGTCTGAATTTTGATTAGGTCAACATGGGGATGCTGCAATGGTCATAAGTAAAAAATGGTCACAAGTCACTTTTTTCAGTGCTGTTGTAACTTTGAATGGCACTAAATGAATTGTTTTAAGTCGGGGACTACTTGTAATTCAAAGCAGGAGTTTCTCTGGAAGAATCTTTTTACTTTAGAGAGTGTGGAGAAGATAAAGGGAGAAACCCTAATTTATGAGGTGGGCCTTTGAAGACAGGAGGCTATGAATGTAGTCTACTTAAGGCAATAAGTTAGGAACAAGTTACTATAGAATTTACCAAAAATCTCATTGAGGAGTAAAGACATACCTTCACCCCCTGTTTGCCTGGCTCTTTCACTTCCTGCCAGATCTACAAAATTCTAAAAAATTGAGGCAGAATGTGTTACACACATGCTCCCAAGTTCAGCTTATGGTCACTCACTCACAGCCCTGGAAAATATCACCTTTTAGCGAACACTGAGGAACAAACGGTTCTTTGGAATAGACAAAGACCCACTGAATTTGAAATGTTAGCGGACTTTACAACATATATATTTGCTGTTCACCCTTCATCCACACTTAACCACATCCTCAACTAGGCTGGCAGTCATCAGCCAGAGGGAGGGAAGTCACCAAGTCTGGATCCAAAGACAAAAAAGAGTGGGTGGACTTCAAGGACCCTTTATCCTCCAAAGTCCTTGCTTTGTTCTGGTAGCTGTTGGTGGGGCTTGGGGAGGGGTTTCCCATGTGAGGCTCAATTTCTTTTGCCTGATTCAAGTAACATTTTTTCCTTTGTTTCCTTAACAACTTGGTTCCCGGAGGGAGCTTTTTCCAGCTTTTGTCCACACCCTGTTTCTAAGCCACCAGCTTTGTGGCAGCTTTGTGCAGCAGCTTCAGCCTTGTCTTACATGAAATTCCTGTCACTTTTAAAAAAAATATAAACAATTTGATAGGATGAATTTTAGAAATTTATTAGCCTGCCCTGTCTGAGTATAAATCAAAACATAACTGTTATTTAATGTTTATAAAGTTACATCAGCGTACTATCATATCCCACTTATTATAACCCCTGTTCCATCATACAAATAACTCACCAAATGAGAAACCATTACAGCTCCTTCGTAGCTTGAGCCAGAAGTATGCTTTTCTTTACTTTCAATGATCTTTAAAAATAAAAGTAATATCATGAACCAGATTTAACAACACCTTTATACATTAGAGAATAGAGCTAGACAAAAATCAAAATGAAACCACACATCACATTAATTTTACTGCAATGTTTGTACAGGGTTAATTTCCCCTACCTTGAGGGATAGTATCCAACTGTGCCTAGCCTGAAACAAAAACTGGGTTGTCCCAGAGTTCAGTCCTCCCCAACACAACTGGATGAAGCTATTTGTATAGGTAAAGGTAAAGGTTTCCCTTGCACAAACATGCTAGTATATGCTTCCCCATCAGGGATTATTTTATTTATCAGTTTATTTATCCGTTGTTAGAATATAAAGCCCAATTCAAAGTCTGAAGAAGATGGCTAGGGGGATATATGATAGAAATACTATCAGCAGGAATGTGGATTGATTCTTCAGAGTGGTAGGACAAGAACCAATGGATGAAAGCTTTACACAGAGAGAACCAAACTCAACATAACTTCCTGATCTTGAGAGCTATCAGTCAAGTCTGCTTCCTAGAATTAAGGGTGTTCTATCAATATAGTTTTCAAGCAAAATTGAGCAGCCATTTGTCTGGAAACAGGATTTATGGTTTGGCCAAATAAAAATAAAGAACATGCTCCTCAAAATCGCCAAGGGAGTATTATATTTATCATTATAAATACCAAAACTTTGAGGTCAGGATTTTCTTCATCAGACCTGTGGCCTTATTCGTCCTACAGGAGTCACTAAGAACTGAAGTGCCTCAGTCTACGTATATGGTTTTCAGCCCAGGTTTATTTACTTGGAAGATATGTGCCATTCAATATTTTGTATAATGTGCTTATTTAGTAACTGCATAGAAGATGCTGCTGAATGCTGTGGCATGAACTAAACGAAGGTAGTAACACAAAAATTAGCAATCACTTACCATTCTAAAAATTGTATGAGAACGGCTGCTTCTTTCATTCATTTTTGTCTCACCGTAATGCCTGTTTTCTGTTTAGAAGAAACATTAGATACAGATTTTTCTTAAAACTGGATTTTCTCTTCTGACTTATTCTCGTTTCCCATAAAATAGACCTCGGCAGATGGTGCCTACAAATGCACCTCACTCCCTTTCCCCACATCCCATATTCACTGAACTCCTACACAACCTCCAACTTTCCTTCCAACTCTTGTTATTTTGTTAGAAATAAAAGAACCAACTCCACCAACTTTGCACTTCTTTTCTGGAAACTCTTACAGCAGCCCTTTATTTTCCCCCAAACAACAGAAGATCATCACACTCCCATTACGACGGTAGCAACATAGCAAGTTCTTCATCTTTTATTTTCAAGGAAAGGGCTAAAATGTACTATACCACCATTGGCTAATTCAGCATAGTGGTTTCATTCCATGCACACGTTTGCATGTGTGCCTGAGGAACGGAGAAAGTAAGTTATATAGGAGCCCTAATGGTGCAGTTGTCAGAATGCAGTATTGCAGGCAAACTCTGACCACACTCTGGAATTCGATCCTGACAGGCTCAAGGTTCACTCAGCCTTCCATCTTTCCGAGGTTGGTAAAATGAGGACCCAGATTGTTGGGGGCAATATGCTGACATTGTAAACCACTCAGAGAGTGCTCTGAAGCACTATGGGGCGATATATAAATCTAAGTGCTAATACATGAGCATGTTGCCCAGGTGGACAAGAAACACAGGTTATGTATGGGAGAGTATCTATCTGCAGGGAGGAGACACTAAAGAAAAGTGTATTGAAGACAGTATGTATTCATTTACAGGTACAGAGGCCTGACTTTTAACAGATCTAGAAATCTGAGATTTGTATATAATGCTCATTTAAACTTTAGGCAGTAAATCTTACTTTCTCCTTTCATCAGCCAGCTCATAACCTGTTCGGGAGAAACCACTACTTCTTCATTCAGATCTTCAACATAGATTGTTCTCTAGAAGAGAATGAAACACTCGATTATTATACCAATCAATATTCTTTATCAGTTGTGAATATTGTGCCTTGTACTTGCATACATAACTGGGCTCAATGGTTGACTCTGACTTAACCATGAATAAAACCTTCGGAAAAACCTAGCCAGTCCGGGAACAACCCAGAGTAATTGAGACTAGCGAGGCAGTGCCTGCAATAGTCTTGTTGGAGAGCAGCACTAGGGGTGTCCAGCCTCATGTACTTACATTGATGTCTTCACGAACTACCAAGGACTTCTTTTTCCTAATGTTACTGCATAGCAAGTCTTGTATAGTTTCATTATGAATTTCCATGTATGATACACAGAGCAGAAATTCCCTGTCTGGAATCTAAAAATTATGAAATATTATATTCATCAATACTTTTGAAGACAACTTGTTCCACAGATTAATGCCATTAATCACTAAGCTTTCCTATTTGCATTCCTAGCCATGCTTTATTCTTTGTTAGGCTACGCCTCTAATTACATCAAGTCATCTAGATGTCAGTGATGATGACAGTTTAACACTAGAGGACTCATGGCTAAAGAAAGGCAAACGTATACATTTATAACACAACCTTCTTCATAAGAATTTTGTGGTCAAAAAGGTTTTTAACTCAACTTGTGACAGTCCCAAGAATGTGCTCCCCCAGATAGTGAATTTAAAACATTATTCTTTCTATGCGGCTAAAAAACTTCGTGAAAGAGGCTTTTAGCTGTTATTTTGAATTTTAAAAGCATACAGGTAGTCATTGACTTATGACTTTTCAAAATTACAGCAACTTAAAAAAAAAAGACTTATGGCCATCCTCCCACTTACAACTATTGCAGCATCCCCATGGTCAGTGTTTGGCAACTGACCGTTTATAATGGAGGTCACATGATCACTGAGACTTTCCCAGCCAACTTCCGACAAGCAAAATCAATGTGGGAAGCTATATTTGTTTACCAACTGCAGAAAAAAAATCACAAAATCATAGGAGGCTCACTTAACTGCCTCGCTTAGAAGTTTCAATCCCAATTATGGTTGTGTAAGTGAAAGACAACCTGTATTGTGGGCACTCATGCAAAATTATTTTCCAGGTATGGCTAGTTACAACTGAAAGCAAACTCCAAATTTCTTTATCTAGCCTTCCAATATGTTCATGATATATGAGCTTTGATGGCACAGTGGTTAGAGTGCAGTACTGCAGGCTACTTCTACTGACTGCCAGCTGCCAGCAGTTCAAATCTCAAAAGGCTCAAGGTTGACTCGGCCTTTCATCCTTCCGAGGTAGGCAAAATGAGGACCCAGATTGTTGGGGGCAACATGCTGACTCTGTAAACAGCTTAGAGAGGGCTGTAAAGCATCGTGAAGTGATATATAAGTCTGTTATTGCTACTATGACCCCAACTTTTTGTGAGCAGAAGAGCACACTTCCCAATAAGTGTTCTGATTTGCTTTCGGCTCTGGCAGCCTCCTTGATATAACCCCAGCCTCTTTTCTCTTCCACAGTAATCCTCGGTGCACTGTAGATTGGGTCAGTTGACCAGAACTTTACACAGAAGCCTCCCTGATTACGCCTTTAAAAGATACATAAGCTGTATTAAATTAAAAGAACATTTACTGCTTCTACTGGAAAGTTGCTTTCAAACCAGCATATTTTTACATGGAGCTGGAAAACCAGAGGGAGCGAGACTCTCTGATAACCTTCCATTCATTTTCTTATAGCCTCTGGGATGGCAATCATGACATACATCCTATCTATCTACTAATCTTTTCTCAACAACACTGTGAGCTGGATTGGGCTATGAAAAAGTGACAAGGCCAATGACACCCAAACAATTTTGGTGCCCTAGTCAAATCTAGAATTCATAGTCTCCTGGTTTTTAGAGCTAATAAATTCAAAAAACAGTTACTTCTTGGAGATAAAAATGAAAGGCAATATTGAATGTAACATGAACAATTAGTTACAGAAGATATAGCAATGCATGCACTGCAATTGAACAAGTCAAAGAATTATTATTCATTCATACATTTACAGAGTCACTGTTCTGGGCATAGAAAGAACATATAGAAAGAATATATGCTATCTTTTTTTTTTTTTGAATAAATTTTATTGAATTTACAATTAAAAACATATCGACATTACATATAAAACAGGGGGAGAAAAAGAAAAAAGAAAAAAAGAAAAAAAATGCTCGGTCTTGCGAA